GACCGCGAGCATGGACCTAGGGTTCAAACCGAGCTGGCCCAGGGCGGTTTTTTTCGGAAACGAGGCGCACGCCCTACGAAGGTCGGCAACCGAGATCTCAGGCAAAGCCTCCCAGGCATGGTGATCTCCAGGAAGGCCCACTCGATCGCAACTGTGCATCTCCCAGATCGCCCCCCGCTCCGCGAGGCAGTCGTCCGCCTGCTGGAATGGCTGTGGCCGAGACGTCTCCGCAATCAACTCCTGCACCTCACGAACGCGAGAGAACTTGTGAGCAACCCACGCCCCCTGGGCAAAAGCCTGCTCGACCCACTGCTTCCAGCCCGCGCAGCATCAGCAAACCCATGCAGCTTAACATCAGTCATCAAGGAATCCCTGAACGACGTCGTCGAACTCGGCCCTACTGAAGCTGGAGGGCACGTCCACGAAAAAACTCCCGAATGGTCTCCGTGGTCTCATCCAGCACCCAAGACGACTTACGAATGCGAGTCAGAAACCCCTGAAGGAAACAGAACTGCTTGGCGATCTGCTCCAATCTCTCATCCGTGGGGTCGACGACATGCTCGACGGCGAGCTGGCACAGCTTGGTACGAACCGAGCGCAAGTGTCGTAACCAGCGACCCAGAGCACGCCACGCAAGCTCCGCCTTCGGCTGAGAGGGGGCTTGTTTCGGCAGCGGCTTCCACGAATAAGAGGGTGGGCCAGCACGCCCACATAACTTCCGTCGCTCTGAGGCCTTCACGACGTCGCTGCGGCCACAGACCTCGGCCTCAATGCCTGAAAAGACCCGCGCCCCAACCAGAAGCCAAATCATATTCAGAAACTGCGCGGCTTATGAGAGACTGGATCTGGGCCCACTCCTCGACGGGGGGGAAACCTCGCGCAGCCTACCTTCGGCTCAACGCCAAACTTCTGAGGCTCATCAGGTACGCGACGACACATGCTTCTCTCCGCCAGGCCCAACTCAAGAAGAACAGGTTTGCGCGGAAAGAGATCGGCCCCTTCCTCGACGGTCAGCTCGCCCACCGCAGGGGCCAGGGACAGCGATACGAAGAAGAAGTCGCGCACCGTGCCTGGGAGCGACTGCGCACACGTGGGCACCTGGGGCGCCACACGGATGGCCCCTGCAGCGTGGAACCAGTCGTCCAGCAGGTCGCCCGCCATGTTCCAGTCCCCGCCTATGACCCACGCGAAGCCCTGGCGCGACAGCTGGCTGGCGCAGTCGATGGCCGTCTGCACAATCTCCAGGCTCTGAGCCCCAAGGCCCCCTCCGACCACGAGGTACACGGAGAGCAGGGCGACGCCGCCTGCGACGCCCCAGCGAGCATGCGCAGCCACCAGACGCCCTGGGATCAGCACGTGGTCAGCGCATTGAGGAGGGGCTGAGACAAGAAAGTGAGTAGGAGCGATCACGGCTACGCCGCCGCCTGAATTTCCTCTGCCTGTGTCGATCGCCTCCGCCCACGCACCGCGAAATCCTTTGGCGGCCGCCTTGGACTGCAACTCGGCAAATCGGCCGCCGTTTGCGTGGTGCTCCTGCACAAATATCAAATAACTATCAAAACTGTGAATGCTCAGCATATATAACAGCGGACCGTGTGAAGATGTGTTAGCTGTAACCACTCCTCGCATCGGGCTCGGCTTGCTCGACCCGCTTGAAACATCACTGCGCCCTGGCACTGTACGAGATAAACATCGATCACCGCGCGTGAGAAAAGGTTTGGACGAGGGGGCCCCCATCGTCTCGAGCACCACGGCGCCCGACCTCGGAGACATGCAGTCTGGCAGGTAGAACTCAGGCGCGTGCCCATCTCCAGCTGCCACTTCGCATGGTGGGGCCGCGCCCCCTGCCCCAGGGCCCGCCCCATCTCCAGCGGCGGCGGCGGCCGCCAGCTGGAGCAAACCCGCGCCTCCACGGCCACCACGAGGATGCGCTGGTGCCTTCCTGACCCCTCTGCCCGCTCGCACGAGGCGCCCCAGGCTGATGGTGCCCTCAGCGTCACGGGTGAGTGCGGCACCACAGGAAGCCCCAGCCATAGCCGCGCCGCCGAGCCCCGAAGACGCCGAGGGCGCAGGACGCGGGGCAGCAAGGGCCGCGCCCCCTGCCCCAGGGCCCGCCCTTTCTCCCGCGGCGGCGGCGGCCGCCTGCGGGAGCATGTGGACAGGCAGCACACGCCCATCGTGGCACCTCGGCATCGCACCAGCGGGGCTGAGGAGCTGCAGCAGGATCGCGGCGCCCAGCCACAGCTTAATTCTTGGCGACGCGGGGCCGCTTCGACGCCCTGCTGAGCTGCTCGCCAAACCGCTCGATGCGTCCTCGTAGCTCCTCCTCGCTGCCAGGGGGCTCGGCGTCGAAGACCTCACGGTAGAAGGCTTGCAGCTCGGCCAGGTCGCCGTCGTCGGCAGGGACTGGAAGATGCACGGCGTCGTCATCAGCCCCTGCACCCGCGCTGCTTGCCGCGGCGCTGGTGGGCGGCTCGGCCGCAGCTGCTCTTTTCTGTGCACGGCCTCGCGCCGCTGCGTCAGCATCAAGCTCGCGCAGCTTCGCGAAGTTGGCCTGGGTTGACTCGGCCAGAGTGAGTCCGCGCCGATCGCCTCCAGCATCTTGCCAACATCGGAGACCGACAAGTCCAGGGCGGGGATCGTCGCTTTGAGGGAATAGACGCCCGCCTCTGGGCGAGGCGCCAGCGCAGCGGCGCTGCGCCTGTCCGCCTCCGCAGCCACGAGCTCCTTGGACGTCTCCAGTAGCGCCTTTTCAGCTTCGGCGACGGCCAGCTGGATCTCCTGGATCTGCGCATGGAGCTTGTCCAAGGCGGCCAGCTGGCGCTCCTTCTTCTTCTTCCCGAGCGCCGTGCAGCGATTGGTGAGAAGGTGGAGGCGGGCACCGATCGGCTTGTCGGCCAAGATCTTGGCCCTGAGCCTCTCTTGCTCCGCCACCATCGCTGCCTTGTGCGAAACCAGGGGCTCGTCAGGGGCGCCCCCGATGGCGGCGATGGCGGCAATGAGCCGCTCGAGCGCCGCCTTGTCAGCGTCGGAGCCAACAGGCTTATCGGCACCAGGGCTGTCGACCTGCATCGCCACGGCCCCGCCGCCCGACTGCCGCGAGGCCTCGAGCTGCTTCTTGAGATCTTGGATCTCGCGGTCCTTGGCGGCGGCCTCCTTCTTGAGCCGCTCTCCCTCAGCGGCAGCGCGACGCTCGGCTGCAAGAGACCGCGGGGCCTGCGCGGCGGCGCTCGCCCCATTGCCCCCTGCTGGGCGCGGTCCGAAGTAGGCTGCACCCTTGGCGAGCTTGCACGACTTGCAGTGCGTGCAGTCCGCCCGATTCCACCATCTCTCACCCGTCTTCTCGTTCGTGCACCACTTGCAGAGCCACGCATGCGCATTCTGGATGCGGTTCTGCTGGTGACCCGACGGCGCCATCGACCAGCCCCTGAGACCTGGGGCAGAGGCACCTGCGGGCCTGAGAGGTGGCAGGTGTGAAAGAACTGTCGGGTTGCAACTGCCCTGGCACTGCGCTCGGGAAACAGAGCGATCCCAGTCTGGCCAGGAGGCTGTGAGCCCCCCCAGCAACCAGTCTTGAGCCAAAATGGCTACGGAGAGGAGGAGGAGGAGGAGGAGGAGGAGGAGGAGGAGAAAAAAAGAAGAGGAAGGAGAAGGAGGAAGGAGGAAGGAAGGAGGAGGAGGAGGAGGAGGATGGAGGAGGAGGAAGAGGAGGAGAGGAGGAGGAGGGAGGAGGAGCAACGATGCTGCAATAAGTCCTCCCTCCGAAGTTCCCTCTTCATCGGTCCGCACCAGAATCGGTGTTCATTGCGGGAAGTGTCCCATTAAAAACAAAAAATCCACAATGATGCCAACACAATGCCCAGGAATCCAACGCCGCGAATCAACGTGATCGTGCCACAGCACCATTCCTGGGACGCCAACACCGCGAGTCAGCATGATTGCTGCACCCTGACACTCCTAAACCGTGCCAGGACGCAAAGCTTTAGGTCGAATGAGCGCGACGCCAAGGCGAGAGCCACAGTCTGAAAACCACCCGCTCTCGATCCTTGAATATGTTGCAAACTTTGATAACGAATGTGCGCGGCGCGAAGGCGAGCGCTGCATTGTGAAAAACGACCGCCCTCCATCCTTGAAACTGTTGCAGCATTTACGGTCAGGCCGTATAAGAAAGACGCGTGATGAGGATGCAAGGGTCTCGGAAGGCCATGTCGACACTTTGCGAGCGGGGCGCGGCCAGCGGAAGCGGCCAAAAATGGGCCGAAGTGGAAGGATGTAAAGGTAACTTAGGAAAGTCGCTCATCCTTCCCGTGCGGGTTGACTGTACGACGAACGAGCGCGGCGCCGAGGCGAGAGCCACGTGTTGAAAACCACAAGCCCTCCATCGTTGACTTTCCAGCGCAATTTTTGGAAAGGGGTAGGGAAGGAACGGGGAGAGGGACGCGGACAGCCGATGACACAAGTACCACCTGTCTTGCATCAATGCCCTGCCAAGGCGACTGCATAGGTGAGCAGCCTGCGGTCCGAGACCGAACAAACGTCTATGCCTGGATCGTTCACCCCGACATGGTGGAACTAGGCTGCAGATCCCTGCGCCCATGCATCGACGAACCACAATTGCGGGAAGACTGCGCGATGTAGAGCCATCCAGAAGGGAGAAGGCGAAGGGAGACATCCGCCCTCGATCCTCAAAAATGGTACAAACTTTTAAGCCGAATGTGGGCGGCGCTACTAAGGCAGGAGCCGCAATTTGGAAACCACCCGCCCTCGATCCTTGAACCTGCTGTAAGTTGCGAGCTTCAGTGTCAAAAATGGCGGACGGAACAACCGGCCCGTCCTACCGACACGTCCACAGGTGCGTCAGGGAGGAGCGATCTTTGAGGGACACGGATGGAGGGGCAGGAGGGAGGAGGGTGCAAGGACAAGAGAGGGAGGGAGGGAAATTGGAGGAGGGAAGAGGGTGGAGGACGACGAGCGGTGGAGGGAGGGAAGAATGGGGAGGCCTGGGAGGGGCGCCCCGAGCCCGCGGTCCTCCACGAGCTCTTGTGCGGCTGCTGCTCCCACTGCTGGCCGCCGCCGCGCTGCCAGCGGTCCAGCCGGGCGGAGCCCTGCGGCGGCGTAGGGGGGGGGGAGGAGGAGGAGGAGGAGGAGGAGGAGGAGGAGGAGGAGGAGGAGGAGGAGGAGGAGGAGCAGGAGCAGGAGCAGGAGGAGGAGAGAGGAAGAGCAGGAGGAGGAAGAGGAGGAGCAGGAGGAGGAGGAGGAGGAGGAGGAGGAGGCGGCGCTCGACGAGGCCAGGAGTGGGGCGAGGTCTGACCAGGGCAGATCGGGAATCTCTGGGGTGCGGCGGCTCTGGAGAACGTGTCCAGCGCCGCGGCCGCTCCAGCGATTCTGAAGACGTGTCCGGCGGCTCTGGAGGACGTGTCCAACTCTGAAGGACGTGTCCACTGCCTCCAGACCGCTCTGAGAGCATCCGGCAACGCTCTGGAACAAACCACCCGAAGCACTACTCCGAGGTCGAGCAACACAGTCACCCGAACTGCTTCCCTGAGCCCCAGCGCTTGATGAATTGCTGGTTCATGATTCTCCCGCGGACGCGGGTGGCTGAGCAACCTCGTTTGCTGCTCCACCGTCTGCGCCGCTGGGTAGTTAAGCCTGCAGATCGCTGGAGTGACGCGGCCCCCCAAGTCGCGCCAGCGCTCGCAGGCGCTGGCCGGCGCGCGGGCGCGGCCGTTTGAGGATCCGCGAACCTGCACTCGCCGAACTCGCGGGCGCCCAAGGGGGGGGCGCGTTCCTTCTCCTCTTGGCAGCCAGGGCACTCCCAGTGGATCGGGGCACCGCGAGAATTGCGGCGCGCTGCTGGATCCCAAGAATACGTTGGCAAACATGCCAGTACATTGCGCACGCACGCATTGCAAGCGTAGCGCGCGCGCTCTGCCGCCAATGCCCGTTTGATCTCGCTCTCTGCGGTTACGGTGGCCACTGTTGGGATGGCTGCTGATCAGGCGTCGCCCTCGCGGACATAATTCACTATGGGCGGACGCCTCAGACGGCGACGTAAGTCCACTTTTCCCCAGACGAGTCGCTCGGAAATCTTCCATGACCGGATCTGAGCGTTAAAACTGTTGTGACCATCTACGTGGACTCGGGCGCGCTTGCCTGGGCATCTGAAGTTCACGAACTGCTCGAGGATCTCCAGAGCATTCGAAACCAGCCCAGCGGCCTTCATCGAGATACCTCCGAGACAACCTTACACAAACCAAGCTGACATTGGTCGAAAATCTCCTCGTCCACGCCCAGCGCTACCAGCACCTCCAACCATGGAGGCTCGTCGCACAGCCACGATGGCTCGGGCTGCTCGCTGACGAAGTAGCCGCCTGGCTTGAGCTGCAGCTGTGCGAGGTAGCCGCAGAGTCGGCCACGGGGGGCCCTGCCCTCATAGACACGCAGCCCGGCGCGGCAATTCCGCGCACCAGCTGCAAATTGCCCAACAACCGAATGGCCGGACGGTCGGAGCCATAAAAATAAAATGTGGAAGTTGTCGTCGAACACATCGTTCCTCGGCTCGCTGCTGACCCTCGTCATCAAGTCAAAGCAGGCGACCAAGTCGAAGTTCTCGCCAGCCAAAGCGGCGGCGGATGGCAAGTCTGCCAGTCCGCGCCTCTCCACCGCAAACCTCTATAAAGCCGACGCCGTAGTCGAGTGAAGTGAAGCACGCGGGAAGCTGATGGATGGCGCTGAAGTCGGTGAACTGCAACGTTTGAGTACTAGCCGTTTGGCGACCAATCTCCGGTTCGGGGGCCGACGACCCTCGGCGCCACCACGCGGGCAGACCTGCGGAGAGGTTGCCATGGAGGCCGCCCTCGTCGCACTCGCCGCGATAGCGAAAGTCGCGAGAGGCTTGAAAGTCGAGAAGATAAGAAGCCAGACTGGCGAGGTCGGAGCCGCGGTCGTCGCAGTGGTCCTCGACGACCTGCTTGCGCGTCGTCGGCGCATGGCCCCCCCACATCGATTCCCCCGAGGGCGAGTCCGGAGCTCGGGGCGACACGACGGCGAGCGCCCAGCGGCGAGAAAGGACGCCACGCCCGTCGACATCAGCTCACGACCACAGGTCGCACTACTGGCGCCCTCGCAAGTGTGAAGGTCGCAGCTCGCGGCCCAGAGCGAGCCCCGCGGGGGTGCCCGCGCGTCGGGGCTGATGAGCTGGATCTTCAGCCTCTTGCACTCGCGGCCGCTTGCGGCGCCGAGATTCTGGCCGTCGCTGCCCACCGTCAGCAAGCCACCAGAGCGCGCGCGGCCGAAGCTTGCCCAACTCCTCGACAGGGGCGCACAAGTGGCAGCCGGGCGCAAACTCCAAATCGAAGTGGGCGGCGCCGGGGCCCAATGCGACCACGCGGCCGCCGGGTCCAAGGAAGGCGAGGCGCTCGTGATCAACGCCCGTCTCCACCCCCCCGTCGTCGGACTGCATGGACTGCGCGCGCAAGAGGACAGGAAGGCAAGCGCCCGCCCTCCACAGCTGGAGCGCAGACGCTGCGCTGGCTGGTCGCGCCATCGAGGGATGTCGTCTCGACCGGACGGAGGAGCTCGCAGTTCGCCACCCTTCCACGCAATGGGGTCGGCAACTTCTCCGCAGAGGGCCGCAGCATCGCCTGCTGGGCCCTGCGGGCTAAATTCATGGCGAGGCGAAATCCCCAGAGGTTCGCCCAGGCGCCGGCGTCGACCACGACGCCTAATTGGCCACCTGATAGATCGGCGCTCGTCAGGTAGCATGGCGACTTGATCGGCGAATTCGACCCTGTACCCGGCGAGGTCGGTCACCGCGGCAGCGTCGGCCCGCGCGGAGGCGCGCGCAGGTCCAGTTGGGCGCCCAGGCACGCGCGCCCATTGCGGACGCGGAGCTGGACGCACTGCCCGGCGACGGCACGACGCATGGCCGAGGCGCACTGGGGGCAGGGCGCGATCGACGAGACCGCGCGGGGCCCCGCCGCGGCGCTGTCTCCTCTGGCACGTCTGTCGCGCGGGCCAACGCTAGAGGCGGCGCCTGCTACATCAGCTGCAGATGACATGCCCGGCGCAGGACGCGGCGGCGCTGCAGGGGCACCACTCCCCCCCATGCTGGAAGGCCCCAATGCAAATTATACACCCACTACCATCGCCAGTGAAAAACTACAACTGCGGGAGGCTCGGCAGGGGGAGCAGCATTGACCGAGGCTTCTATCCAACTCCGCGCGGCCCGCCGTCGCCGCTCGCCCTGCTGCCACATAATTGAGCTCAAACGCCCGCTGTGCGAAGTGGAGCTCGGCGAGGCGCCGTCGCCGCGCGCGGTCGAGGGAGCCGCCCACGTCGCGATCGGACTGGCCGCCGCTGGACATCGACATCCGAATCTCGCGGCAGGCAAACCACGCGGCCACTCCCCTGACAGGCGGCTCACGACGACGGGCCAATTCACGCTCAACAGAGCCAGTTCCCAGGGAAACTCCGGCACTGCCGGCGAGACGACTACCGGCGCGGACTGAGGCGGCCACATGGAGCTGAAACCACGAGGAGCGCCGATGCCAAGGGCGGAGACGAAAGGCATGCATGCCCACATAGATCAGCGACTGCACATCGGCAGGCGGGGCCAGAGGCGCGACGACACGAGCGTTGAGGTCGCCTATCCAGTCGCGCCCCTGAGCTTGCCCCGATGGGAGCGCACAGCCCACTCGCGTCCACCGCTGCGGTGCTGGGCGCGGCTGCGCCGTTTAAGCTGCCGAAGCCGTCGGCGCCGCCGGCACGGCCGCCGCGGACAGCGCGGCCGCGCGGGCCAGCGGCGCAGTCACGGGGCCCGCCAGTCGCGCAAAGTCCTGCACGCGGCGCGCGAGTTCTGCCATCTCCCGCCGCAGCCGTCGCAGCTTGTCTTCGCGAGGGTTGCTCGAAGACGAAGACGCGAATCACCTCCCACGGGGCCCGGGGCCAGAGGCTGCGGAGTTCCGGCGGCGCCCCTAGTCGCCCCTGCCGCGCACGCCCCCAGCGCGAGCCGCTTCTCGGATGGACCTGGCGGCCCCGCTACCCCGGGGGCGCGGGCGGCGAGAGCGTCGGCGGCGACGGTCGCGCATGGACACAGGCACGGAAGAGAGCGCGCCCTTGGCTGCGGCGCCAGGGGCGGTCGCGAACGAGGTGCTCCTCAGAGTCGCACTCACGGCGTTCGACGCGCACCCCGCCAGGGCCCGCGAGGTCGCCCTGGCGGCCCGGCCCCGCGCCACCAGCCTGAACCCCCCTCTTCCTCCACCCCCCCATGCGCCGTTGCCCACGCAGGCCCCCCGAAAACCGCTCGGGCGCGTCGGACAGGCAGGCGCGGCAGCCTCTACCTCGGCCCTCGCCCTTTCGTTCGGCGACCCTCCGGGAGCGGCGCGCCGGCCCGCGGTTGTCGACGCGGCACCGAAGCGCTTCGGCGCGCTAGCAAGACCGGAGAAGGCGCGCACCGCATTGCTTCAAGGAACGTCGCGTCGCTGGAGATCGCGTGCAGCACGGCCTTCGCCGAAGGGGTCGACGGCGTCAGAGTCGGCGCCCGGGCCGACACCTGGCCCAGGGGAACGCACCCTGCGCGGGCGACGCCGCGCAGGCGCCGCCAGCAGCTGCGGGCGCAGGGGGTTCGGCGCCGCCCCCAGAGCAGCCGGGCCAATGCCATCCCAGCTCGATCCGGCCACGGCGCCACAGGCACCCTGAATCTGCTCTCGCGCGGGCACACCCGCAATGAAGGCGCGTCGCTGGGCAGCGCGGGACGCGGGGGCGGGATTGTCTGGCGGCCCCTCGACCATGTGCTCAAAACGCCGCAGCAGGCCCGCAAGTTCTTCTAGATTCGCTTCGCTGCCCCTCGGAATGATGGCGACATAGATCGCCAGACCCCCGATTGCCTCCCCGCTCTTCTCTGCCTGCTCCTCCACGGGCTCCTGTGACACACTCACCAGAAGCTCGGGACCCTTAGCCGACACCGTAGATGCGAACGGCACGTCGAACAACTGTCTGA